AGAAATCATGAATCTAGACCCACGGGGTCTACTGCGGTCCCTGAAACAAATGTTGTAATATCTAAACAGGGAACCAAAAATGAAAACAGCCAAACACATATGCGTGGATATACCTCGGGACGTGGCCGTGGCCGTGGTCGTGGTCGTGGTCGTGGTCGTGGACGTGGCCGTGGATATGGCCCAGATCGCCACTTTGACCAAGGCTTCAAATTTCACCGAGGGTACAACTCGGGCCGAGGGTATAATCGTGGACGAGGCCGTAACTATGCCCAAAATTATGAAAAGGGGAGAAATTTCCAGCCAAAATTTGAACAAAATAATGTGACGGAGAATAGTAATGAAAATGCATGTTATCGATGTGGAAGGACGGGACATTGGGCACGAAACTGTCGTGCTCCAAAACACGTTGTTGATAAATATAACGATTCCCAGAAATCAAAAGATAAAAATGTAGAAACTAATTTTATAGTTGGGGAATCTTCTGAAAATGATACAACACGTGTGGATGATGACTATGGTATCGATGACATGTTGAACCTGGACTTTGCTGATGCAGTATTTGAAGACAGAGCTGGAAATGATCAAGAGAATAACTGATGATCATGTTGTTTTTATTGCTATCTAAGTTTTTGTTGTATTTGTGTGTGGACTAGTTGTATCTGTATCTCAAATTTGATCAATTATAATATTGTTTTTCTTTTAGATCATGGATCGGTCTCGAATCCAAAATTGAGATATATGTCTTGCAGATTGTGCCACTACTCATACTATACTCAAGGACAGAAAATATTTTGTCAACTTGAAATTAAACGAAGCAAAAGTAAATACAATATCCGGAAATGCAAAGATAATTGAGGGCTCTGGAAAAGCCATATTTTTTATGACGGGAGGTACAAAATTTATATTGAATGATGCGTTATTCTCCCCAAAATCAACAAGAAACTTGTTGAGTTTTAAAGATATTCGAATGAACGGATACCATGTTAAAACAATGAATAAAGGGGGAGTTGAATATCTTTGCATTACCTCAAATGTTGCGGGAAATAAATGTGTTTTGGAGAAATTGCCAGCTTTATCATCGGGCTTATATTGCACCCGCATTCACATTATCGAGACTTATGCTGCAACAAATTCACAATCGATTGAAATGTTTAAACTTTGGCATGATAGACTTGGTCATCCTGGCTCGATAATGATGCGAAGAATTATTGAAAATTCTAGTGGGCATCCATTAAAAAATCAGAGGATACTGCAAACACGTGAATTGACATGTGCCTCATGTTCTCAAGAGAAATTTATAATAAGACCATCACATACTAAAGTCGGACATGAATCACCGTTATTTTTGGAAAGAATTCATGGTGATATATGTGGACCTATTCATCCACCTTGTGGTCCATTCAGATATTTTATGGTGTTAATTGATGCTTCTAGTAGATGGTCTCACGTGAGTTTGTTATCGACTAGAAATGTGGCATTTGCTAAATTACTTGCCCAACTTATTAAATTAAGGGCTCAATTCCCAGATTATATTATCAAAAGAGTCCGACTTGACAATGCTGGAGAGTTTACATCTCAAGCATTTAATGATTATTGTATGGCAGTGGAAATTGATGTTGAACATCCTGTAGCACATGTTCACACTCAAAATGGTCTAGCAGAATCATTGATTAAACGACTGCAGCTTATAGCTAGACCACTGATAATGAGGACAAAACTCCCCACTTCAGTATGGGGACATGCTATTCTGCATGCAGATAATCTAATTCGAATAAGGCCAAGTGCACACCATACATACTCACCATTACAGTTGGCATATGGTCGAGAACCAAATATTGCACATATAAGAAATTTTGGTTGTGCAGTGTATGTACCAATTGCTCCGCCCCAACGTACAAAAATGGGGCCTCAAAGAAAGTTGGGAATATATGTTGGATATGAATCTCCATCAATAATCAAATATCTTGAGCCAAAGACGGGTGATGTTTTTACAGCTCGGTTTGATGATTGTCATTTTAATGAAGAATTGTTTCCCCCTTTGAGTGTGAATGAAAAGTCAATTGAAAGAAATATTGAATGGAGAACATCATCATTATCATACCTTGATCCTCCCACCAAACAAAGAGAGCAAGAAGTTCAAAAGATCATACATTTGCAAAATATCGCAAATCAATTGCCGGATGCATTTACTGATTTAAAAAGGGTGAGCAAATCACATGTTGCAGCTATAAATGCTCCTGCTCGAATTGAAATTCCTAAAGAAACGGCAAATGACGATATGCCAAATGAGTTAAAGGCACGCTTGAAACGAGGAAGACCAGTTGGGTCTAAAGATAAGAATCCTCGAAAGAAAAGAGAAATTCATGATTCGAATGTGAAAATGAATCAAAACGATGGAGAAATTTCGGGACGAAATGAAAATATTGAAATCTCTATCAATTACGCAAATAATGGAAAACTATGGAAGCGTGATGAGATCATAAATATTGATGATGCATTCGCATATATGGTATCACAAGAAATTGACAAAGAAGTTGAGGATCCTGAACCAAAATCTATAATTGAATGTCAGAAAAGACATGATTGGGACAAGTGGAAAGGTGCTATTCAAGCCGAGTTAAATTCACTTAATAAACGAAAGGTTTTTGGACCCATTACCATTATACCAAAAGACATAAAACCTATTGGATACAGATGGGTTTTTGTTAGAAAAAGAAATGAAAAAAATGAGATCACAAGATATAAAGCTCGCCTTGTAGCACAGGGGTTCTCCCAGAGGCCTGGGATCGATTATGATGAAACATATTCCCCTGTTAATGGATGCAATTACTTTCAGATACTTGATTAGTTTGGCCATCCATGAAAATCTTGAAATGCGCCTTATGGATGTTGTGACTGCTTACTTATATGGGTCGCTAGACGTTAACATTTATATGAAAATTCCAGAAGGAATTAAAATGCCCGAAGCACTAAAGTCCAAACCTAATGAGTTATGTGCGATAAAACTGCAAAGATCATTGTATGGCTTGAAACAATCCGGGCGTATGTGGTATAATTGTTTGAGTGAACAATTACTAAAACGGGGATACATAAATAATCAAATATGCCCGCGTGTCTTTATAAAAAGATCACAAGACGGAGTTGTGATAATTGATGTCTATGTCGATGATCTTAATATTATTGGGACTAGAAATGAAATTCAAAAAGCAGTCACTTTACTAAAAGGCGAATTTGAAATGAAAGATCTCGGACAGACCAAATATTGTCTCGGCTTGCAAATAGAACGGGTCCAAAATGGGATATTTGTCCATCAATCTAATTACACTAAAAGAATACTGAAACGATTCAATATGGACAAGGCTAATCCACTTAGTGCCCCAATGGTCAATCGAACATTAGATATCGAAAAGGATCCATTTCGACCTTGTGAAGAAGACGAAGAAATACTTGGTCCTGAAATACCATATATGAGTGCAATAGGAGCTCTTATGTATCTTGCTAATTGTACCAGACTAGACATATCATTCGCTACCAATTTATTAGCAAGATATAACTCTGCACCTACGAGGAGACATTGGAATGGAATCAAACATATATTCCGTTATCTCCAAGGGACAATCGATTTGGGACTATTTTACTCTAACGATAAAAAATATGACATGATCGGTTTTGCAGATGCAGGATATCTATCAGATCCCCATAAAGCAAGATCTCAAACTGGATACGTTTTTACAATTGGCGGAACTGCATTTTCTTGGCGTTCCCAAAAACAAACATTAGTTGCGACGTCTTCAAACCATGCCGAGGACATTGCACTACGTGAAGCAACTAGGGAATGCATCTGGCTCAGAAACATGACTCAACATATTCAACAAGCTAGTGGACTATCAAATAATAATGACCCGACAGTGATATTCGAAGACAATGCAACATGTGTCGCTCAAACAAAAGAAGGATACATCAAGAATGACAGAACTAAACATATCCCGCCAAAGTTATTCTTATATGCGCAAGAGCTTGAAAGAAACAAACAAATTAAAGTTCAATACATTCGATCAAGCGATAATGCAGCAGATTTGTTTACGAAAGCGCTTCCGACGACAATATTTCGAAAGCACGTGCACAATATTGGGATGAAGCATCTTCGAGATTTGCACGGATGATAACTCGAGGGAGAGTATGTGCGGCTGTACTCTTTTTTCCTTATCTCGGTTTTTTCCCACAGGGTTTTTCCAGATAAGGTTTTTAACGAGGCAGCATAAACGTACATTTAATAGTGGTAATTCCAAGGGGGAGTGTTGTGATAAGTGGAATTTACCACTAATAAATACATTATCATTTGAATTATTGTAATAAGATATATTGAAGTTTGTGCCATTACATTATTGGAGGACCTCAAATCCATCTATAAAAGGGGCCATAGTATGTGTAATTTTTGTACTGAAGAAGTTGAAGGAAATAAATCTTATTACAATTATATCCAGTTTTTACTTTTTATACATTGTGTTTTTATATTCTCCGTATTTTACAACAAAACATCTAATATTCAACTAGTCCAAACATTCATTTCAACAAATCAATACATCTAACCATTCAACTCATCCAAACAATCAAAACGTCCAACCATTCAATAACCAACCAATTCAACACATTAAATCATCCAACCATTCAACTAACTACAAAACAATTCAATATCCATTGTTACAATCAACCAACTACAACACAATTCAATATCCATGACTACCGCCTAAATGTACGAAAATTAGCCATGAGACCTTCAATTGTCTGCTTCACCGTTTCTGCCCTAACAGGATCTGCCTCCATAGCTATCACAATGGCCTTATTTGTAGCATCCTGAAATTTGTTCACCCACTGTGAATAAAAGATATAACAAACATCTTTAATAATTCAAATAAACATCACAATCTACTAAAACACAAAAAAAAAAAAA